CCAGGTGCGGCGAGCGGTTGAGGAAAGAGTGGAGAGAAGCTGTGGTTTGTCTTTCCCCCGAGGTTCGGAACACCTGGCTTGCGCGTTTTGTCTGGTTTGTCGCCTCAGATGGATTCAAAAGGTTTTTGCTGATAGGCAAAGTGAGGCTTGGGTTGGCCCACTTTCCGCAGTGGCGACGCAGTGTTACTTTGACTGAGCCTCTGGAGGCCCTAAAAGAGAAAAGGCGACTAGAAGGAGGGCGAGAATGCGTAATCGCAACCTGCTAGGGAGGCCCAGCTGTTGCTCGGACCCCAGTTTACCTGGTGAAGTACCTTACGGATCACAAGCCCTTGTTCTTCGTCATAGGGGAAAAAACCCTAGACGTGAAATTAATGGTTTTACAGGAATAAATTATTGGGTTATTTTAGTTTCTTGTCAGCTAAAGGCAGCTTTCTAAATTTCCTTTTTTCTTTTGAAAGTATAATTTAGGTTTTTATCTGCTCAGGAGAGAAAAATAACCATCCTGATTTGAAATATTGCCAGGCATTTATTTCTAGAGTCAGTGAAGGAGGGCATAGGATTATTGCAGTCAAACACGAGCCTTAGGGTTAGAAGCAAGTGCAGTTAGTCCAGCCAGCTTCTCCTGCCCACCCCGTCCCCCCATTTGGCTAGGCCCAGTTCCTGAGCTGATGTGTGTGTGAGCAGCCTTTATTGAACTCTAAATATTGTGTCTAGGGCTTTTTCAAGAAATCGTGCCATTTCATTCTCACATTCCTCCAACATTACAACTGTCTTTCTTGTCCTTTGGAACCTAGCCGACCTGAGTTTCTAAAATTCAGCCCAGCCATTTACTTTTTGTGGTACGTTGGATAAATTAACTAATCTTGCTGAACTTCAATTTCTTGAGTTGGCAGAAAAAAATTTGTTGTGTAAAGCATTGTCTGACACTTGGTAGTAACCTTGTGTATTCATTCACACTGTCTCCTTAGGCCTGCTTTAACCATCTTTTAATTCTTTTATTACTTCCAGAAAGATTGGATGTGGTAATTTTATAATAATAATTGTCAAAGTCACAAGCAGTAGCCAAAAAGAAGGAAAAAATTTAATATGCTCACCTAGATGAGATATTGGCTGTGTTGTTTTGAAGTTATGGAACTTGTGCTTTTTTTAGCCAACAAATATTTATTGTTAATATTCAGTGTCCCCTACCAAGCAGAGAAGCCAAAAAAAAAAAAAAAAAGCTAAAGAAGTGAGCCATGAACACAAAATTAACAGTATGAGGTAGTGAGACTCAAATGCTTGAGAATTTAAAGGAAAATAGTATCTGTAGGCAAGCAAGCTGCAGGGAGAAGGTATGAATTGAACTAATTGGGAGGAATTTATTATAGAGGAGTCCTAGAAGAAGTAAGGAGTCGAGGTGTATATTGCAAACAATATTCTTAAGCCTTTAAGAAACCTGTGGCTCAAGCAGCCCATAAGAAAGTAGATCATTTTAAGATTTGGAAGAATGAGTCTGGTGAGAGGCAAAAGAGGATTCATGGGCTCGGCGCCTGTGGCTCAAGCTGCTAAGGCGCCAGCCACATACACCTAAGGTGGCGGGTTCGTATCCCCATCCTGGGCCCGCCAAACAACAATGATGGCTGCAGCCAAAAAAAAAAAAAAAAAAAACAAATGGCCAGGCGCTGTGGCGGGCGCCTGTAGTCCCAGCTACTTGGGAGGCTGAGGCAGGAGACTCGCTTGAGCCCAGGAGTTGGAGGTTGCTGTGAGCGTGATGCCATGGCACTCTACCCAGGGGGATAGCTTGAGGCTCCGTCTCAAAAAAAAAAAAAAAAAAAGAGGATTCATGAAAGAAGACAAAGGAAAATATAAGCTATTTGAAGAAGCCTGCAATCCTTAATATTTAAAGAAGAAAAGAAAATGAATAGAACTGAAGAGGAGATTAAGGAGAACAAACAAGGAATAAAAAGACCACAGGATTTGACAATAACATCACCTTTGAAAGTATAATTTCAGATTGTATATTGTATGATATATATAACTACATGTTCCAAATATATATTCAGATTAAAGTTTTTATCAATTGAATGATAAGGAAATGGAGGTGAGAGGTAGATAAGGTGACCATAATTTCTTGGTCACATCACGTAATCTGACATGATAAAACATTTACCATCAGTTCTTTGCTACAAATTCCAGGATCTGAATTATCTCATAATAGAACCTGTAAGAAAGTTTGGAAATACTGAAGTAAAGCTAAGAAGTAATCACAATTCAAATTTTAATGCTGTCTTCCAAAGACAGAAACAAAGGAAATTCCAATGGAAGAATGAAATCTAGAAATGTACTACTATTAAATTTATAAAAATATCTAAAAACCTTTTTATACCTTTGAATGCTAAGTAAATTTGGTTATTAATTATTCCATGAAGCTCTTTCCATCTTATAAGTCTTACCTCCCCAGCTTTAAGAGGCCTGCAAGGTATGGCAGTATGTTTTACACATTTTTGTTTGTTTTGTTTTGTTTTGTTTTTTGAGACACAGTCTCACTTTGTCGCCCTTGGTAGAATGCCGTGGTGTCACAGCTCACAGCAACCTCCAACTCCTGGGTTGAGGCGATTCTCTTGCCTCAGCCTCCGGAGTAGTTGGGATGACAGGCGCCCGCCACAATGCCTGGCTATTTTTTGTTGCAGTTTGGCCCTGGCCAGGTTCAAACCTGCCACCCTCAATATATGGGACTGACACTCTCCCACTGAGCCACAGGTGCCACCCATTTTACACATTTTTGTATAGCTAGCCCTGACTCAGCTCAAAACATTGCTTTCCTCTGAAATAATTATCAGTTGGGTGAAGGAAAAGCTAGTGAGAAAATAATTTTATACTTAACTATATATAATAAATTTAACTTCAGATCTTTTCATCTGTCTCCAGCCATACCACTCTGGATGCTCCTGAAGTCTAATCTGGGAAGGGTCGAGCCTGCTTTACTACTTGGCTAGGAGACTGCCTGGGAATACTGACTGTGTACAAAAAAAGATTGTCTTTTACTTTTTGCCTTTCTTTCATTGCTAGCTTTATACTGAATTAGGTTTGTTAATCCATCTGTCCTTACTATTCTTTGTATTCTAGGACAAATGGCCTCATACCACTCTAACTATATATGTTCTTTGTTTATTCTAAGTATTGACCATGTTGTTCTGGCATCAAAGAGAACATTATAGTCTCTCTGTGAATGACACAATTTCAGGCCAACCTAATTGATAATAAACTGCATTATTTTTTTTAACTGCCATAATTTCTTCCTAAAGTTTTCTTTTGAATGTATCAGAAGATATTTACATTCAAAAGATCATCTACTTTCTTTCCTGCTGATAAAAACTATTTGACAAGAATATGTTAAAGAAAAACGCTAACTAAATTGTGTTATTTTTAAACTAGCTCAAATCTTGCAAGCAACTAATTCTTTTTTGTTTCTCAGTCTTAGTTCCAAGGTACTAAGATTTCCTGTACAATTTTCTTATTGCTTTGTTGTGGTTTGACCAAGTTACTGTACACTTAAGCACAAATTACATCAATGTATAAAACCTGAATTTTAAAAATAATTCTTTAGAAAACAGTTGCAGGAAATAATAATCTCGATCACAATGCCTATACAGTAAGGTCACTGAAGCTGAAAAAAATCCCCCTGCTCAAACTGGTGACCCATCAGCTTGTAACAAAATGCTATTACTCCATTAGCAGTTTGGGAGATGTGCTCAGACACATGACCTCTCTGAGCACTTTTCTTTATTGCACATTAAGAAAGAGTTTAAAGCATGATGCCCCCATCTAAATGAATCACTGCTTTGCCAACTGCAAGCCCCTTTTTACTGGTGTTACTTTATTTGTATGCTCATGTCACAGAGCTGAAGTCATGGAAGCCTCATAGACCCTCAAAGGAGTATGTTTCGAGAAGCATTACCCTCCCAAAATGTTTAAGCTAGCTCCTTGGAAGGTATTTTAAATAATCCCAAGTGACAAACACATTTGCATGTTTTAACTATCAGGCAAATTATAAACATAGCATGATGTTAATAATTTCCAATCATAAGCACACATTCATTTAAATCAGACATTTACTGATCACACGTTATAAATGAACTACTGCTGGTTCATAAATGTACAAATGGAAAACACCATCTCTGCTCTTAAGAGAGGTAGGTTTGGGAGCCAGTTAGGGGTACAATGGATTTTCCCAATACGGATAAGGAAGGTTAGGACAACAGGCAGGTGTACAATCCAAAGCCCATATGTCTTTCAGGGGGACCAAACGTAGAAGACCAGAGTAAAGCAAGGATGGCACTATGTGCCATGGAAATGATTTAAGTTCTTCTAGATATTACAGGCAATTAATGAAGGATTTTAAGTAACTGACTTGCTTTTCTAACTACATCTATAGTCACAGGGAAATGTATACATTTCTCAAAAAAATTAGGTACAAAATTATTTGGTTTAATAAGCATTAAGTGCCCACTACCCTCAATCAATTAGTAAATATATTTTTTACTAATAAACATTTCAAATAATATACAAGGCACTTCATATGCTGGGCACTGTGAGAGATTCAACACAGCAAATACAAACTGCCCTGTCTTCAAATATGATTTCCACCTAAGAAAGCTAAAACACACTTAACTCTGTTTTAACTTATTCTTATTTATATATAACTCACCTTACTGCAGAGAAGTTACATTT